TTAGAAAAAATTACTATTATGACTATTTTTTCGGTTTGTGTTGCTCTGCTTGCTTATTGAACCCTTCTAAAATGTGTATATCACTCTCAGTATTGTTTTTTGACTGATAATGTTGTTTTGCTCTTTTTGTTCTCAGCGCTTTGTATTATAATGAAATGAAGTTTCATGAATGAACTGATGAATGAACTTGAAAACGCAATGCTGGAAGTGCTCTTTGCCTTTCGTATTCTTGAAAAAGTGCTGGAATCACTAGCATTTCTTCTCGGAGCCTATTTGTAGTGGTCATTCTGAGTTAGGATTTAGACTGGGAATTCCCTTTCATGCCGGCTATCGTTGCTGGTCTTCTCAGTATGCCTCCAAGTTTCAAATTAATGCACTGCTGCAAAAATGGGAGAAAAAAAAAATACTCGCAGTGATTCCATTACTTTCACAAGAATACAAAAAGCAAGGAGCACATCTAGTACCGCGTTTTTGAGTATATTCTGCAGTGAAAGGTATAAAAAATTCCACTGCATTATACTGCAAAGAGCTGAGAATAAAACTAGCAAAATAAAACTATCAGTCAAAAAACAGTACTGAGCGTGATATGTATGGGTTAGAAGATTTTAATAAGCAAGCAGAGCCATATAAACCGAAAAAGTAGTCATAACAGTGATTTTTTCTAAAAAACATTTCTTGAAATTGTTTTAAAGCAAATAAATTTTAACTAAATGTTTGTTACTGGAGCAGTAGTGAAGAATACTTTACTACAAAAAAAAAAAAAAATAAAATTTCAGCTGAAGCAGAGGTTCTGGGGTCTGCGAAAATGTTAAAATGCTGCTTCAGTTAGAGGTTTTTTTAGTTTACTATCACTAAGTACATTATAACTTTTGATGCTGAAAAGATACCACCTTTTAATTTCTTAATTTTGTTTAAAAATCATTTCTTTAAAAAATACATCTTTTAGATAAAATTCAAAATTTTTTTTAGAGAAAAAAACGTTTTGAATATTTGCTTTTATTTTAGTGTAGAATATAATTTGCTAATTAATCTTTTCACTATTGTTCAGAATCTCGCAAGACAAGCTTTAAAACAAAGTAAAAGTAAGACAGTTTCGTTGCAATTGGAGAAAACTACAAGTTCTTGAAGAGGACCATTTTGAGGGTGAATTGCGCTTTTTTTTCGCCTTTTAGAACGGTCTAACTTTGCCGGCAGCGCACTCGTTTGATTTCAAAATCTGGTATCAAGTGCTACAAGTGGGCAAAAAATGAAAAAATATGAGAGGTCGAGGTGCAAACTTGTGCAACTTGGCATGGAATGACCCATACATTTTTTAAATTACTTTTTTGAAAGATGTTTTCTAGCAACTAGTGGCAGTAAAATCAGAAGCTGATTGAACCGTGTGTAAATAAGAAAGGTTGTGTAGCTTTTGCACCGTACTGAGAATGAGGAGGCAAGATTTATATCTTAGTCGAGATCGCTAGAAGTTCAAACGGGAAATTTGAAGTGATATGAACTTAAGTTTAGCTGTTCTTATATCTGGTTATGGTTTTTGATGAACAGTTTTTATACACTGCTTTGATTCTTCTTTCTTTAATTCTGCTTTTCCATTTTAAAATTAACTTCCTGTCATCGCTGCTAGATAATCACTAGTTTACGGTAGTGAGATGATAAACATTTCTACGAAATCCTGAGGGTCAACTGTCCGTTATAATTTTTTTCAGGACCTGTGACAGTACCGATGCTCTCATGCAGTTTTTTTTGGTTTGGTCATTTGTGACATACATTACTGTAGATTACCATCTGGGATATTTTGTACCAACTTTGAGCAAAGTAGAACATTATAGAAAAACGAGAGTTTGATAGAGGGTAGCACTGGAATTTTCACTACAGAGACGACAGGTCGAGAGCTTCGCGAACTACTGAACTAGAGTATTGGTGACAAGAAACAAGAGTTCTCCATTTTTGTTGCTGTTTTCAGTGTAATGATCTTTTAAAAAAATTAAAAAACAGTTGATTGATTACAACAGAATGGTTAAATTTAAAAAAAAAAAGTAATCTTTTGTTTTTAAGTGGTTAGCGGCCTTCTTACGTGTATCTTGAGTGGGGACCTTTGGATGAGGGTTAGAAGGCACTACAAACAGAACTCGAACTGAGGGGGACTGTTCTCAAAATAATAATTTTAGACGCTAGTATTTCCATTGCTGAACTTTGATGGACGAGGAGCACACTACATTTTTCAACTTTTTTCAGTGCCACTGCAGGGGTCAAAGTTGCTTCAGTCTTACTCTTATGACAGTGGAAGTTTGCTTGAGGGAGGCTAAGTAGGACAAGCAGGGTATATCTATCTGCTGTTGAATTACATGTGGAATGAGAGCTTTGTTGGACATATTTGCCTTCATCAAATAGCACTAGCATCGAAAGAAAATTAACTGCTAGTAGTCGCAAGGAGAAACGTGCTGGGAGTTTGCAATTTCCTAACTATTTTAATTGGGCGACTAAGTGCTGGTTATCGGTGGGGGAATTAGGTGAAAAATCAATTGCTTTTGCTTGCCCAACCATGTCGAGCGACAACTTTTACAATATGCTTAACTTGCAGAAAATGTTCATCTATGTGTCAAATTTTATTCACCCTCTTAGACAGGCCTTGATGAAGGAATGTAATTTAGGTCGCTAATTATGCATGCGGTGCTCTGTTTTCCATGAAACACAGCAAGGGACATTTCTGCACACGTGTTGGGCAAAAAATACTTTGGTTAAACTTTGTATTTATAGGAGTAAAACTTCAAATTTTCAAAGAACGCTGTACATTGATGGGGTGCGCTGCACGCTAACTTCCAGCTACTTTCCTGTAATAATGGTTTACCAATCCACTATATTACAACTAAACAGAGGCAGATAAAATTGTCATTAAATTTCTCCCGTGCACAGTAATAGAAGTATCATTTATTCATTTGACAGGTTAGTAAAAATTAACAACCAGACATTAATTGACAAAAGCAAGAAAAAAACAGTAACAAAGCAATGCTGCACAAAATGATGATGAAGGATGACGAAATTGAAGTTAAAGAACGATTATCCAGGAACACCACAGACAATGCAACTTACTGTACAAAAAACACTGAGAATATGACAAAGATGCTAGGGATACTCCATCTGGAATAAAAGAAAAAATAATTTACTAAGAAATGACAAGACGAGAAAAAAGATAAAGATATAAAGACAAAAAATACCCTCTTCATTGCTTCTTTTCCTCTTTTAAAGCAAGCAGTAGAAAACTGACGAACAATCAAAGGAAACAATGAACAACTGGACGAACAAATAAACGATTAAACAGACAATAGAAGCGTAGGCTGACAACCAAAAAACAAAATTACTCTTTTCTGCTACTGTTAACAGATATTTCAACCTACTAAAACTTGAACAATATTTATAGGTATGAATGTATCAGATATTCTCCCTCCTCGCCGACTACCGATCCATTCATCTATCCTCCCAATTAACCAACTAAAACACTTCCCCTGCTAGTTTTCTTGATTTCTTATCCCGTATATCCATCCTCAGAATGTCATCTTCATCTACACCTTGTAGAAAAAACGGGTGACACATGACAAGGGAAAAAAAAACGGAATCTACTGTTTATAGAAATAAATCTTGGTTGGAACGAAGGCAATTACAGATTGTTGCCGTCGTAACTTTTTTTTTCAAGGGCCCCGACTAATTTGGAATGGTGCTCTACTGATAACATTGATGACAATTTGCTAGTTTATAGTGGCATATTCCCTTTTTAAAAGGCGTTTTTCCTCCCAATTCCTTTAGCAACGGTTATTGGTGATTTTGGCTTACAAACATTTTGCACAGCCTTACTGCTCATAAAGTGGCTACGAATAAGCAGTTCTACCAGTCGTGTGATTGAAAACTAACGACAGAGGGAAGCACCAGAGAAAAAAAAACAAAAATTAAATGAGAACCAACCATTATTTTAAGTTTTTTTGGGCAAAAGCAAAACCAGTAACCTATTATAAAGCCTTCACTAATGGCTTATTTCCTCTCTGTTAGTAACCACAGATGAGATTACTTTAAATTATTCTACCAAAAGACAGTATTGTCCAGCCAGAAAATTATCACCTTTTTACTTAATAATTTTTTTTTTTGAAAGATGTAAGCAGCTGCCATATAACCAATTATGGTGAAACATAGCAATATAAAAGCCAAAACAGAAGATGGCTAAATTAAAATACGATAAATAAAAAAAATAAAGATAAAATGAAAAACTGAGATCAGGTAGTTTGGTACGAAAACAAAAGAGCTCAACTTTTTTGTACTCTAGGTTTTCTCATCTCATAATCCTGACGCACTTTAGCCTTCTCAATTGGTTTCACCTTACGCCAGATATACTGCACAAAATAACGTTTCTTAAATAACGGATTTCTATTTGGGTCATCATTATTAATTCTATCAATTACTGTAACTATCCTATGAAAGCCCTTGCAGCTTCTCCAAAAACTATAATATCGTATTACTTTATAAACATTATACAATGGAACACTTTCACCACGAGGAACTCCCCTTGCATTTGGTAATGAAATAGAACTACGCGGTGATGAAAACGTTGATGAGGAATGCATCGAAAGCAGGCCAGAAGGCACGGTTGAGGTAATTTTTGCTGAAATAATACGACCTTTGGCAGCAATACAGTTGACACGCTGAAACGTTCGCATGTCTTCCGAGTAGTAGTATTTGGTTGGCCGGCTTGTATGTTGCCACCACTGCTGATCTTTCATAATCTCGGATATAGGCACTTTACGACCGTCGACAATAAAGCAGTAGTTATCATCAACCATTGGTGGAGGAACTATTCCAGCTAACATCGAATCTGGAGCAGTCATAATTGTTTCAAGAGCTGTCTCTGTTTGTACTGTATCATGATGAATACTGTGGACAGGAATATTTTGATGGAAAAGCACCGGTTCTTGTTGTGACAATAATGCTTCAGCAGAAATATTCGAATCAACAAGCTCAAACGCTCCCAAATCTATTTCAAATTTTGACGACCCTGTTTGATCTGATTCTGCAACCGACTCTGGTCTTGACGGACTGAAATAGATATGCAGTGTCCGTCAAAAAAACACCAAAATATGTCACAGCATTACTAAAATTTTTATATATTTACATACCTTGGCGATTCCTTCGAAGAAAACTCAAAATCTATTTCTTGCTGTGATTTTTCCAAATGAAGAGACTCTTCCGGCGGGCAAAGGCTAAAATAAAGATACGTTAAAATTTTGATTTCTTGAAAAACAAGATCAGAAAGCAACTATACGGAAAAGTAAATTGCTAACTTGACATAGGGCTTGCTGTAATCCTCAAGCATTTGAATATAAGAATTCCATTCATACATGCATGCAAGACCCACAGGCTGCAAAACGAACGCCAGTTATGCTACGAAAAACAAATCATTTTTAATTTCCTCACTTTAATACCCACTCTATAACGAAACTTTCTGAGGGTACACGTATTGGAAAAGGCGCGATAGAAGATAAAGAAAGCCTTACGCTTGTTGTTGCTGATACTAGAGGAAGATCAAAACTAGGTTTACAACTTTTCACCTTTCTCGAACTTTTTGCTTCATCAGCTGAAAACCATCAAATTATTGGAGATAATTTAAAGGTGTATGTTTGCAGAAAAACTTTCCTTAAGCGTCTTCACTACAATGGAAGAAAAACTCTCAAAAAAATAGCTCGTATTTCAAAACAAAATTTGTACGCTCAAGATAAGTAGCTGTTACCTATTTCTTTTAAATTGAGATTATAATCAAAATGAAATGATATCACAGAAGGCTCCGGAGACTTAAAGTTTGCATAGATATCTTCTCTCTCGTAAACGGAAGGAGACGTCGACAAAGAGCAGTGGAAAGATAGATCTGCGTAAGCAAAAAGTATGTTTACTTCGATTCCTCGTCAGGAAAAGATGAAAAAAATAAAATAAAGTTTATTTACTTTTAAAGTCAAACTTACCAGGACCAGACTCAGTCCAAGAATCCGCACGATCTTCACTCTGCATTTGATACATGCTAAAAAATCGATTTGAATGTAAAAGTACAATAATTTAAAAATTTTTCATGAGAAATCGACAATGGAACAGCAAAACAACAAGTAAACAACTTTGCCACTGCAATAATTTCTTAAGTTATCTTATCGATAAAAAACGAACATAGATCGTGCTGAAGCTGTTGTGTTGCTTGGAGAGCTGGGAGATGGATAAATATAACTGTAATATTAGGGTTCTAGAATAGATGTTAAAAAAACTGCTAAAACATCTTTCAAAGTGAATTAATATTATAGTTCTAAGTGAGACAGATAAGAAAGATAAAAGGTTAAAGATATTAAATCTCATAACTGAACCTTTGTACAGAGTGTACTGATGGAGACGGAACTTTTTGCGCGGTGCTGTACTGGTAGGCTAAGGCACTTTCAACAACTGTTTCCTCAATCTGCCATCTGCAAATCCCAAGGTTTATATTCATCACCCAAAAACAACTCTGACCACTTTAAACAAACAAAAATTAGAAAAGAATGAATTCAATCAAAATATAAAAAGAATGATTCTAAGAACAGTACTGACTGAGTCACATTTCCATTGACTTCATATTGCATTTTATCGTCGGGTTCCACCCAGTTCTCAGAAGGAAAGTTCAGTTCGTTACTAAAAATCAATAACTTAGAAGAAAGTAAATAAGTGTGAAATCAAACTAGAATTCTTGCAAGAAAATATGGAGAGCCTTGATAAATATCAGAAAAAGCTTGTAATAAAGGCTGTCCAATATGCATTAGTTTCTAACAATACGAAAGGCTATAACTTACTTTTGGCCCAGAGTAGTTCAAATACAGGTGCTAATATATTTATAGCAATAAAAAACCAAAGAAATTCCTACCCCTCCCATATTCTCTTATAAAAACAAAAAACAGATTCAGAAAAAGATCCAAATGCATTACTTTTCTTCTTGCAAACACTGAAGGTAGATCTGGAGAATTTCTTCGCCGCGACCCATAGCAAAGTGCTTTTCAATCATTCGTTTCCTTTTCAATAAATTCAACAAATCTGCACCCCTAAATTTCCTGCCAAAGTAATGAATCTTTTGTATGTATTGAATTCCCACAAGATCAATACACATCGTTGTTACAGCAAGTCCTACTCCCAAGTAAACGAGCATCAAGACGATATATCTGTAAAAACAGTGAAAACATTGATTTGCCTACCAATATAGCGTGAATTAATTCCAAATATTCTTATGTTTCGGTAAAATAGCTTTGTTTTGAACCTATAAAAACAAAAATCGAAAAAAAAAGTATGCCACAAATAGCCCCGATAAAATGTTCGACTTTGTCAAACAGATGAAACAGAAACGAAGTAAACTGAATATTTACTCATGCCGTTCTGGTACCAAGTCACCAAATCCAATAGTAGTTAGTGAAACAAAACCTGAAAACTGAAATAAATTACAAAAAAAATTTTTTTAATATTATTTTTTTAAGTCTTAACATACTAAGGTCTATAAAACTGTATAAATTCTAAAATGAAAGTGCTACGGGGTATCAAAAATTTTAATCAAAAAGTTTTAAATCAACATACAGTAATAAAACGCATCCATATAGGACCAGGATTCCAACACACAAAACAGTATTCCACCAAACGCAATGTACAACTGTGAAAAAAGCGAGAAAATATAAATGATTCTATATTGGATACTTCATTTAAAGAAAAAAGTAACAGTAAGTCATCGTTGAATAATTAGAAAAAAAAGGAACGTCGAGCATACCAATAATATTGTAAATACTAAAATAACAGGCACTTCGGCTTTATCCATAACCAAATCATCTAAATTTAAAGGACCAGTGGCTTCCTTTCCTTCCACCGGTTTCTTAGGTTGAACTTCAATTGAGCCTAAAAAAAACAAATAAAACAAAAACGATGACAACAAAACTTGCTCTTAATCTTCTAAATACACTGTAGATAACGTCAACCAAAAAGAAAAGAACATTTTATAACACCTCAGAGTTGCAGAAAAATTTCGAAAACTTGATGAATGGCATAAGAAAACAACCTACCTTTCCGTGATCGCCATTTGTGATAAATATATTGAAATAATCCACGACCCTTCTTCATCTTTCTGTACAACCATATCGTACATTCAGACAAAAATTTGCCAAGGTCACCTATTGTTATGATAGCCAATGGGGCCCCCACCAATGAGAAGATAACGCACGTTATTCTACCGTATGTTGTTACAGGTACTATGTTACCGTAACCTTCAAAAACTCGCTTTAAGACTACAAAAAATGTAAAAAAAATTTCTTTAGCCTATTTGTCGATTATTCTTCTGCAACTTTTTGTTTCTTTTTCTTTTTTTTTTATTTCACAATAGCTGAAAAAGCACTAATAAATCAAAGACTGTCTGTTTACTGGCTTAGCCGTGTTAATACTTGTTTTTTTTTTTTTTGTTGACATTTAACGTTACCAATCGTAGCCATTGTTGTTGCAGCAAAAAACAGAGCGCTACTTGATGTCCATAATTTTTTTGCACCTTTAGTTTGCGATTTTAACTTTCTAAAAAATTATCTAAATATTCACTTCACGAGAAAAAATATTTATTTGTCAAAGAAAAACGTATTAGTTTTGTGACGATAAAAGGAAAAATTTCTATACAATTTTACCGAAGAATGTTTACCGTTTCGTACGCGAATCACCGGTATGGTTGTCGTTGAGATCTTCAAATGTATCGCTTTGTAAATCACCATATCTACAGTAAGGTGGAAAAAAAATTGTCTAGATATTTTTACAATCCTGGTACATTTGTCAAGTTCAGTAAAGTATTGAAAACATTTTTTTTCGTAAGCTTTTGGTAATGGTATTGATGGCGTTACCGCTATCATTTGACAATAAACAACAAAAAAGCTATTACTTTAATCGTTAGAAAATATTTATTTGCTGAAATAAAACTCAAAGGAATGGCAAAAAAAAGTTTTTTTTCTACTTTGCTTTTGTGTAAAGAAAAAAGCAGTAAAATAAATAATTGAGATTGTTATAAACAATTAATGGCCAACATTATTTCCTTTCATTTGTTGAAACTTTTATAAGGAAGAACGGAAGAACAGCAGCCAAAAAAAAAGAAAAAAAAATGTCAAGAAAAAAATGTACCTAACGTATTGTTCTTTGAATGCAACATAAAGATGTTGATTGAACTTTTGCAGTTCAATATCGACATTGGCAATCCACTGATCAATCGACATGTTCTTACGCCGTACACCACCATTTTGCCACAACGCATCGATAAATTCCTTTCTGGTTTTCTCGATCCTTGATCGTCCCAATTTTCTAAGCTGCAATAATAATGAACAACTAGAAATTGAACTAACAAACATAGATCATCCATTCATCTAATTGTTAATATCATACTGTTAAAAAAAAATACGGCAAGGAAAAAAATACGCTGAACTACAAGATGAACGAATGGTATAGAGAATGACTGAGAAAAACAGAAAAATGAAAGTGCTGACAAAATAAACTTTTTTGTTCAGAACTGCAGTTGCAACTAACTTACAGTCCTATTAAAAACTGTCTTTGAGATATGTATTGCAGTTTCAACACTCACTGATATTCCCAATTGTGTTCTACTTCAGTTTTGATGACATTTGAATTTTTTTTGTCTATATTTTGCATTTATATTTCCATACTACCACCGATATCGATGTTATATGA